TGATGAGAATTAGAATATATTTTGAATCAAAGTACAATAAAAATATTACATACAAGAACTTGTGGTAAAGTGGTGTAGTCACTTTGGAAAACAGTTAGGTGTTTCCTCAAAAAGTTGTACATAAGAGTTACTATATTACCCAGGAATTACACTTTTAGGTATATACTCAAGAGAAATAAAAACAGATATTTACAGAAAAACTTGTACACAAATGTTCACAGCAGCACTACTCATAATAGCCAAAAAGTAGATACAACCCAAATATCCACCAACTGATGAATAAACAAAATGTGGTACATGCATACAATGGAATATTTTTTGGCCATAAAAATGAATGAAGTACTGATATATGCTACAACATAGATCTTTGAAAATATTATGTCACAAAAAGCCACACACTGTATGACTCATTTATATGAAATGTCCAGAATAGGCAAATCTATAGAGACAGAAAAGTAGGTTAGTGGTTGCCAGGGGCTTGGGAGAGGGGAAACGGGGAAGTGGCTACCAACAGGTATGGGACTTCTTTCTAAAGTGATGAAAATGATCTGGAGTTAGATAATGAGGGTGGTTGTACAACCTTGTAAATATACTAAAAACCACTTAATTGTGTACTCTAAAGGGTGAATTTATGGCATATGAATTAAATCTCATTTTTTTTAAAAGTGTGAGCTGTAGCTATGTAAAAGAAATATATAACGTATATTAAATTATTCTTATTAATTTACTAGTAAGAATGCTTATCCAGTTTACTTACTATTCTTACCAGTAAGAATTCTATACTAGTTTAGTTACTATTCTTACTAATAAAGATAAGCTTGAAAATATCTGCAAGAAACACTAACCTATGAAAATATAGCAGATTTAAAAAGAATCAAGTAGAATTCTAGAAATAGAAAAAATACAATAATTGACTTTCAAACTTGATGGGAAGATTTAACAACAGATGAAATATGGCTGAAGAGAGAATTGTTTAACTGGAAGATAGGCTGGAAAACAATTATCTTTACTCCTGCGATTTGCATGCTGAATTATTTAGGGGTGAAGTATCATGATGTCTGCAACTTACTGTCAAATGGTTCAGCAAACATGTGTCTGTCTAAATCTATTTTTTTAACTACATGATGTGTATACAGACATAAACGTGTCTAGCAAGCAAGAAAGATAAAGCAAACATTGCAAAATGTTAATAACTGGTGAATAGGCAAGGAGCATATAGATATTCATTGTATTATTCTTTCAACAGTTCTGTTCCCAAATTTAAAAAACTGGCAAAAAGATACAATAGCATCAAAATATTAAGAACAAAGGATTAAATTTTTAAAAAAGAGATAGAAGCCCTCTATGTGGGGAAATTATGAGTTCACTGAGAAACATTAAGAGAAGATGTATATAAACATAGAGATATACTATGATCATGGATTAGAAGATTAAATTTGTAAAATTGTCAATTTTCCCCAAACTCATTAGTAGATTTAATGCAATTTTGATCAAAATCTCAATAGGGCTTTGAAAGGAACCTGACAAGCCACTTCTAAAATGCACATGGAAGAGAAGAAGGACAAGAACAGCCAAAAAATTTTGGCTTTGAAAACAGCACACAATACTGTTTTGTTTTCAGCCTCTGTTATTGGTTCTTCAACTTTTCCTGATCTTTTTATGTTGGAATGCCCCAGGGCTCAGGCCTTTGATTTCTCCTGTCCTTTATTACATTCTCTTCCTTTGATTTAATCCAGTCTCATAGCTTTACATAACAACAAAATACTAACTCCCAGCCACCAGTCCAATCTAGACCACTCCCCCAAACACAACTGGTTACTTGGTGTAAAAATGGTGTGGTGGTGTCAGACCTTGACTAACTTTAGGGAGAGGAGAGAGAATCATCACCAACATCATCCCAAAGCTGATTCCCACAAGATGGAGGTCAGACATACCTCCTCTCTCCAACCATTTTACCATTTCTGACACTAGCCATCCCTCCCACAGCACTCTACTTCTCTGCTGGTTTCGATAATTCACTGCAATGGCCACACAGAACTCACAGTCTATACTCACAGTTATGGGGTTTATTAGGGAAGTAATTCAGGATACAGTTCTTTGATCAGGACTTTTTCTTGGCCTGCTGCTGCCAGGCCCTGGGTGGGCCTGGCCTCTGCCACTGGGCCCTGGTTGGGCCTTGTCTCTGCTGCCAGGCCTTTGGCCTCGGCCCTCAGCCTGGCCTCTGTCCTGCTCAGGCAAGTGTTACAAAGCTCTTTAGCTTCATGGACAACTGCCCAGAGGCACCCCACTCCATAAATAAGGCTCCTGCCTGCTCCATGGGCTGAGAAGCCTACCGTGCCATTTTGCACCAGTCTCATGGTTCCTGCTGTCTCACACCACTGCTGCCTACAGTGTTACCGCTCTCTCTCTTGAGTCTAGGAGGTTCTCAGCTCAGGGACACTGGATCCCAAGGATGTGCTCTGCTCCTGGCTCTTCTTCTTGATGGTAATTAGGTACCCTTCCTGCTCTGGGATTGGCTCTTTTTAAGCCTAGCAGGATGGCAAAACTGACCAATCCCCTATAAAAGTTCCACAAGCATCTTATTTGTATAGTCCCACCCAATCATTTTGTGGGAGTCACAAGACCATGGCTAGAAGGGCCATATTAAGTAATCCACTGCACCATACTTGGTTCTTATATACGTCTGTGTATTAGTGATCTAATATACTTCTGGTAACCAATATACATTGGCTAGCTAATATACATCCACTTGGTTATCTAATATACATCTGAAATTTAATGTATCTAAAAACGAACTCCTCAAAATTTTCTCTATCTGCAACCTTTCCTATCTCAGTTGATGTCAACTTCATCTTTTCACTTGCTCAGTCCCTTACCTTGAATTCACCTTCAAGAATATATATCATCTCCTTCCTCTTCCTTCTATGACCTCAAATCTTCTACTACTCTCCTCTTTGCTCACTTCATTCCATCACACTGGCCTCTTTTTTGTTCCTCAAACACACCAAATACTGTCCTGCTTTAGGGCCTTTGCACTGAAAGTTCTATTTCTTTTTTTTTTTTTTTTTAATTTTTTTTTTTACTTTAGATGAAGGTTTACAGAACAAACCAGCTTCTTATTAAACAGTTAATACACATATTCTTTTGTGACATTTGTTGCCAACCCCACGACACGTCAACACTCTCCCATTCTCGACCTTAGGTTCCCCATTACCAGCTTTCCTGTCCCCTCCTGCCTTCTTGTCCTTGCCCCTGGGCTGGTGTGCCCATTTAGTCTCATTTTGTTTCTTGGGCCTGTCTAATCTTTGGCTGAAGGGTGAACCTCAGGAGTGAGTTCATTACCGAGCTAAAACTATGTCTGGGGTCCAGACTCTTAGTGTTTCTCCAGTCTTTGTCAGACCAGTAAATCTGGTCTTTTTTTTTTTTTCTGAGTTAGAATTTTGTTCTACATTTTTCTCCAGCTCTGTCTGGGACCCTCTATTGTGATCCCTGTCAGAGTAGTCAGCGGTTGTAGCTGGGCACCATCTAGATGTGCTGGACTCAGTCTGGTGGAGGCTGTAGTGGTCCATTAGTCCTCTGGACTAATCCTTCCCTTGTGTCTTTGGTTTTCTTCATTCTCCCTTGCTCCAGAAGGGGTGAGACCAGTGGAGTATCTTAGATGGTCGCTCACAAGCTTTTAAGACACCAGACGCAACTCACCAAAATAGAATGTAGTTCTATTTCTTAACCCAATTTGTGTAATGAAAATCAGTTTTAGTTTGTCTGGGGGTGGAATTCAGGCAGTAGTATATTTTTTAAATGTCCCATACTTCTTCAAAATAATCAGTGAAACTCATTGCTGTCGAGTTAATTCCAACTCATAGCGACTGTAAAGGACAGAGTAGAACTGCCCCATAGGGTTTCCAAAGCTGTAATCTTTATGGAAGCTGACTGCCACATCCTTCTCCAAGGAACGCCTGGTGGGTTCAAACTGCTGACCTTTCAGTTAGCAGCCGAGCACTTTAACCATGGTGAGATCCAGGCATTAGTATATTTTTTAAATTTCCCATACTTCTTCAAAATAATCAGTAAAGAGGGGTATGAATAAAACAAGATTAACTATGAATTGGTAGTTGTTGAAACTTAGTGATGGAAACATGGAACTCATTACAATATTCTCTCTAAGAAAATAAAACAAAATAAAAGCTTCCATGGAGATGCTAATGTGCAGCAGGGTTGAGAATCACTGGTCTATGATCCCAAACTAGATCATTTTGTCCACAAATAACTGAGATTTCAATTTGAAAGGCTGTCTTAATGAATTAAAAAAGATACACATAAGATGAAAAATATCAAATTTATTTTCCAAAACAGAAGGAAAAAAAATATGTATTTGAATTCACTTTGCAAATATGTTAACAATAAAAAACACTTGTTCCATGTCCTACTCGTCTCAATTTAACACTCAGCCTGCTGTGACACCCAAAAGAAGGGAAAGAGTATTTCTGGCCCTTGGTTTGCAGAACTTGAAATTTAGCAAAAGAACATGTGGAATGTGTACAAGGAACTTAATCCTTCTATGTCAAGGCTAACTCTTGTTAACAATGGGGCTCCATACAGTTGAAAAATAAAGAGCTTCATAAGGTTTACTTATTCAAAATCTCTAGAATACTCATTTGCAGTTTGAGGTCTTACCATAACTTTTACTAATGCTTAACCTATTTTGAGGTAAAGTACAGAGCATGCAAGAGTGAAATTCTCTTCAGTTTCAAATGAACTAATAATTTAAATCTGAAAATATGATCAAAGATGACATCTTTCCTCTTTAAAAACATTAACGACCCCAATAAACTATCCAGATGAATTTACTGGTTTGAAAGATACTTGCTAATAAACTTGACAAGGAAAAATTAAACCATCACCCTATTTTTGCCATAATAATAAGAGTCTGTAAAAGGTTAACTTCTTAAGTCTTTGGGAAGTGGAGCCATGAGTTCTATCAAACATGGCTATTGAGATGATTAGATTTGACCAGAGCTACCCTCAGAAGACTGGGTAACCTGCAAAGATTTGCTTATTTGCTGACTATTCCCACTCATGCTTACCAGACGGCTATCGATTGCATGAAGTTCTTGTATCACCATGCTCAGATCTTCATGTAATCTGACTATAGCATTTTTTACCTCTCCTAAAAGAACTTTAACAGAATTGTTTGATTCAGGCTCCCTAGGCAAGCCTTTGGTTGTCTGAAAACTAGCACAGGACATAGAAGTGAAGTGGTCTACATTCTGAGTGGAAAACTCTACCCAATTAGCACTAGAGATATGACTGGTTTTATTTTTAGCAGAAGCAGAGTTATCTGGAAGAATTTCCAGTAGACTGAGGTTGTCATTTTCCTTTTCATCAGAAGACACTGGGCCCCTAGGAGCAAAGGGATGATGAACACTGGCTGTCTTATCGTTATCTTTAAAGGAGGCAGAAGAAGATGGTTGATGGGATAAAGTCCAGAAGGAAGGTCCAGCCAAAACTGGGGGTGAGATACGAACTGACTTCTCTGGAGAGGCTGAATTAGGAGATGACACGGATAACGGAGAAAAGGAGGATGTTCCCTCAGAGACGGTTGAAACTACAATATATAAATGAGAGAGAAACATTATGCAAGTAATAGCTGAAATAATTCTACACTGTAAAAGTCTATCTGGAAGGTCTCAACATAAATAAACTACTTAGAATTTTAAAATGTTAAATATTCATAATAATCCTAAATAAACTCAAAGCAGGAAATTGAGAAAATCTCTAGATGTATTGTACATCAATAATACCATGGAAATAAAACTAAAATAGAATTATCAATATTCATCTTGACTCCCAAACCCTGCTCAGCATATTTTTACACTCAGCTTATCAGAGAGAGCAGGAAAGTAAAGAATTAAACACTACTGACTGTCAGTATTGTAATTTGGCATTTAAAGTAGAATATCTGAGAAACCTGCAACTTAGATTCCTTTATTATTATTTTTTTTTCCTATAGAGAATATTATGGCAAAATGACATACCAACTAAAAGTACCTAAAAGTTAGGGAAATTAATTTTTATCACTTGATGGTCAAATATAATCAAGACTGAAGTCCTACTCATTTCAGATCTAAAATACTTTAGCACATGTACATCATTTTTCTTACCAAGAAACTCTAAGTAAAATAAAAAGCATTCGAAATCTATTTTTCATAAGATTAAAGATTCAATAAAATCTCTACTTTCTTTCAGGAAAAATCATATTAAATCCCTTATCACATATGTCATTCTAAAAATACTTCCCAAACTGTGTTTGGAGGAACACTGCGTTCCTTAAGATGCTAAAAGAGGTTTTGTGAAAACAGGGCTTCGGAGTCAAATAAGACTGAGCAACTGTATACTGCGACTCCCGTTAGGAGAAAAGCAATGTCCATTAGCACATTAAACGTTCCAAGAAGCCTACAGCAATGTAATCAGGTGTTTTCCAAACTTTCTTGAGCACAGAACTTTTTTTTTGTTTCTCTTTGGGATACCTATTTACATTCATTTACGTAGTAGGTGGCCACATATTAGGGAAATCTAGTTCTAAAGTCTTTAACTAAATCTGGACTTGCTACTTAAAAAAAAAAATTACTTATTCACTACATATTGTGTCGCTGTTTTTGTTAGGTGGCACTGAGACAGTTACGACTCATAGCAACTCTACAGTCATAGAACACAGTTTAGCACAGATGACTTAATCTTCCTATATTATTTTATTTTGTTTTATATATTCATGTCCCTTCTAAACTTGATTAGGCTTCCTGTAAAAAAGAAGTGGTCATGGACAGTAGGCTTCTATTTTCTGCTTCAAAGTTCTGCACAGCCTATCTCCAGTTCTCAGGAAAAGTTCCAATCACCATACTTTTGTGGGGTGAAATGAGTATTCTTAGCTAATGCAGCCGCAGGACCTGACAAGGAAAGTAGGAACTTCACCAGCACATGGTCAAGCCCAGCCAAGCACACTTAAGAATCTAGGCCAGGCCCATCCAGACATTCTATCCTTGGATTGAAAAGATAGTACAATGGTAGTGGACATCTTGATGATGGCAGCCACAACATATTGCGTTCTGATTTACACTACTACACTCTGAACTGGGGGTGCTCTGTGTTTGGAGCAAGCTGTCATCTGGCACGTCCCTTCACCGTCCTCCTGTCCTGGCTCTCCTGTTTTCTATATTCATGTCTTCCTCTTTTTTGGTTTACTCTCATTTTGGTGCAGCACGTTCTCCAGTAGTTCACTGAAAAAGGATGCATGAGAGGTAAAATTTCCAAGAACTTGCATGTCTGAAAATGTATATTCTAGCTTCACGCTTAATGATAGTTTGGTTAGGTGCAGAATTCTAGGTTGAAAATCCTTTTCTTACAGAATTTCGAAGGGAACATCCCATTGACTTCTTGATTCCTGGTTGCAGTACTGCTGTTCAGAAGTTAGAAATCATTCTAATTCTTATTCATTGTATATAACCTATTTTATCTCTCATGTATTATAGAATCTCCTCCCTGTTCCAGTGTTCTGAAACTTCTCAATGATACGCCCTGAAGTGGGACTATTTTCATTCACTGAAGTGAACTGAAAGCGAGCATTTCAATCCGGCAACTCATTTGCTTCAGTTTTAGAAAAGTTTCTTGAATGATTCAATCAACGATTTTCTCCTTTGTGTTTGCTTTGTTTTCTCTTTCTGGACCTCCTCTTGTTCATATGTTAGACCTCCTAGACTACTCCTCTAATTTTTCTCTCCTATTTTCCCTATCTTTGTCTTTTTTCTCTACTTCCTTGGAGATTTTGTCAGCTTTAGCATCCAGTCCTTACACTGAGTTTTTATTTCTGCTTTTTTTAAGAGATTTTTTTCGTTGTTCTCAGAAATTTTTTTATAGCATCTTATTCTTGTTTTCATGGATACAACATATTATTTTATCTCTTTAAGGATCTTGCTGTTGGGTTTTTAAAAAAGTTTTCCTTTCCCTGAATAGTGTATTTTCTTTTCAATAATTTTCCTTTGTTTTGTCTCAATGTTCCATGTTAGAGGTTTTTCTCATATGTCTGGTATTCCTTGTTGTGTGCTTATGATTAAGAATGGAGGATTAAAAAGTTCATTGGAAGCTCTGAATGTCAGTATGGAACTTGTCAACTTTGAGCTCCAGTGTATACTTATTTGAGTGGGTCATTTGTTAGGGAACTACTAATGTCAATAACTTTGGTATTTGTTTCTTTTTAGGAGGGCCAGATTCTTAAGAGAAGAGTTTTCCTATCTCCTGGCTAGAGGGTAAAGATGTGGCTACCAGTGCACTGGAAATCCAGTAAGCAAAGGGGGCTGAGGTTCTCAGCAGTCAGTATTTTACTTGCATATCTTCATTTAATCCTGTAGTTTTTGTTATAGTACCCACACCCTCAACTCTACCTAACATCTCTCATTTCAGAGACCCTGCATCTACTCTCTCCAAAAAACAAAGCTCTAGACTTCTGCCACAGGTTGTAGGTGTGGGTGAGTGTGGAAGATAATTGTTCAACTACTTGTTGAGGAGAAGTCTAGTGATTTAACCACTTTTCAAATAACTGTCTCCTAAACCTCATTATTTAGCACCACCCCCAACAATAACACATGGAGTAAGTTTTAGAACTCTATTTTAAATATGAGGCAAAGGAATGTTAAAGAGGCTAAGACGATTTCCCAAGATTACAAGGCTCAAAAGGGACAGAGATGGGATTCAAACTCAAGTCTCTCTGATGTCAAAGAATATGATTTTCACCAATATACTATACTTCCACAGCACTCCACTATATTAGAATTATTTTCACTTATTAACATTCTAGGTATAAAATTTAGAAGGCAAGCAACCAAGACAGTGAAGAATTTGACATCATATAAGGAATGGCTGATGGGTTTGCTAATCTTGACCCAAAAAGAGATAGTGGGAGAAAGGCTAAGAGGCTATTTTCAATTACTTGAAGATAGTCACAAAACCTTAGTAATAATATCTTCCATTTATCTTACTGTGCATGAGGTAGAATTGGGATCAATAGGTGCAAGTTATAGGATAATAGATTTCAGCTCAATTATAAAAAGAGAACTTTCTAATAGTCATGGCTGTTCACATGTGAAATTATTTGCTTTGGGAAATGGTGAGTTTCTCGGTACCCATGGAGCTCATGAACAGCCTGATGACCATTTGGCAGGGAGATGTTTCAGGTAAGATCAATGCATCAAATGACAGAACTACGTATACGCCCTTTATGAGATTCTAAGATCCTAGGACCAAACATACCTTTTAAGAGTACTAAGAACACTCTTCCAAAAATAGAAGAGACTGAGTTCACTATAGCCAGAAAGAGTGATTTTATAAGCAGTATTTAAGTAAGTCAAGAGGAAAATAATATGAGTCAAATATTTATATATTGTTATCTTATGTATTTAAAGATAATATAGTTACGTTAGTCACATATATATGTTAGTCACGTATATATGCTATTCACGTATCTATGTTAGTCATGTACATATGATGTGACTTTAAAAAACCTAGTATTTAACCTTATGCTAATGGTTCTCAAAGTGTGGTTCCTGGACCACCAGCAGCAGCACTGCCTGGGAATCTGTTAGAAATGAAATTCTTGGGCCCCACCCCAGACCTACTGAATCAGAAACCTGGGGTTTGGGCTCAGAGTTTTAACAAGGCTTCAGGTGTTGATGATGCCTGCTAAAGCTTGAGAACCACTGCTGTATACTATACGTCCACTTTTCTTCTGCTTTGTGGCTACAACTGCTGACTAAACAGCTTATCATTGTTTACAGTTTTGCAGCTTTGATTCACAGACTACATGAGGCCTTTGTGCATAAAAAGCCACTTCATCTCTAATTGCTGCACACCAATTTACTTCTGTTTCCAAACATGCCACAGCTGTACCATCCACTTCAAGCTGAACTGCAGGGTGCATCTCCACTGCCCATTAGTTCCCCTGCTCTTGCTCACTACAGCAGCTATGTGGGCATCTTGTCAACAGTCATCCTCTTCATACAGTCCGCTCACCAGAGCAGAAATGCAGCAAATATTGCAAATTAGCTCCATCCAATAAATGGCTCTATTTTACAATCTCATTGTGTAATGCATGGCAATTAATGTTAAGGTGCTGATAAAATTATTCCAAATATTATCTCTAGCATGTCTACATTTTGTACTCATGTACAATATCAGACAAATCAATTACAATATTACAAGTTTACATTTTGAAAGCATTTAAAGAACTGCAAAAATAAAGTGGCAAATAGATTTCTAGAAATATTTTAAAACTCTCATTTGCTGCAGTTGTTATTTATAATTTGCCCATAAACAGATCCTTGGTCAACTAAACATTTTTAAATAGTTCACTGTACAACAGAGGGATTATTTTTTTGTTCTCCAATTCTTCTCTTTGTCTTTTGGCTAATACACAATGGTTGTCAAGTTAAGAATATATAGAAATTAAAATATTCTGATTTTTTTCTGTGGTTAAAAAAATACAACATTTTACACAAATGCTCACGGCAGCATTATTCATAATAGTCAAAAGTGGAAACAACTCAAATGTCCATTAAT